GACCCAGAGGTTGAGAACCGCTGCTTTAAGACTAGGTAGACTTGGTCCTGTGGGTTTTTAAGACTGTATCTCTTCGCAGGAGTAGGAAGCCTCATCTTTCTCCCGTGGAGCAGCTGGTGGTTTCACACTGCTGACCTTGTGGTCAGCAGCCCAACTTTGTAACCCACTACGCCACAAGAGCTTTTTGTTCTTATTAGATACCACGGAGTCAATTCCGATCCACAGCGACCGTGCACAACAGAACAGAACAAAACAACACCGCCCGGCATTATCCTTATGCATGCGCCCACTGTTGCAGTCACTGTGTGAATCCATCTCTTTGAAGGCCTTCCTATATTTCATGTTTCCTCTCTACGTTACCGGGCATGAGGTCCTTCTCCAGAAACTGGTTTTACCTAACAATATGGCCAAAGTATGTAAGACGAAGCCTTGGCATCTGTGTTAGTCTGGGTAGACTCGAGAAACAAATTCATAGACACTCATATGTCTGTCATAGAGAATTTTATATCAAAGAGTAACTGTATATTAAGAAAATATCCCCAGTCCAGATCAAGTGCATAAGTCCGGTGATATTAGCCCATACGTCTGATACCAGTCTATAAATTCCTCTTCAGACTCACGCAACGCATTCAATGATGGCGAATGCAGGAAGATCACAGGCACGTGAGTGGAAAGTCTTGTGGATCCAGTGGCGGTGGATGCATCTCCAGGGCTCTGGCAGCCATGAATGTGGCTCCACGTGGCTTGTCAACAGGAAGGTGAAGCAGAGAGAGTGTGTGTCCCGCCTGTGGGGAGGAGGACAGAAGGTCCCAGACTCCTCAGAAGGCCACGCCCACCCAGAAGCCTCATTGGCTATGACCTGATTGACAGGCAAGCTCCACCGCTTTGCTCAAGTTGACAGGGCATGACGTAACTGCCACAGCATCCTCCCCTCTAAGGAGCACCATGTACTTCTTCAGACACAAACTTTGTTTGTTGTACTATCAATATTCTTCTCCAGCACCTCAATTCACATGCACCGATTCTTCTTTGGTCTTCCTCATTCAATGGCCAACCTTCATATGCATATGAGCCCATTGAAAATACGCTTGGGTCAGGCACACCTTCGTCCTCAAGGTAGGATCCTAGTTTTTTCAATACTCCAAAGAGGTCTTGCGAAGCAGATTTACCAATGCATTGTTTGATCTCTTGACTGCTCCTTCCGTGAGCATTGATTGTGGATCCAAAAAAGATGGAATCCCGGACAACGTCAATCCTTTCTCCGTTTATCACAATGTTACCTGTTGGTCCAGCTGTGGGGCTTTGGGTTGTCTTTACATTGAGATGTAATCCATGCTGAAGACTGTATTCTTCGATCTTCATCAGCAAGTGCTTCAAATCCTCACGTTCTATAAGCAACATTGTCATCTGCATATTGCAGGTTGTTAATAAGTTTTCCTCCAATCCTGATGCCCCATTTTTCTTCATACAATCCAGCGTTTCTGATAATTTGCTCTGCGTACAGATTGAATAAGCATGCTGAGAGGATGCAGCCCTGACACGCTCCTTCCCTGATTTAAAATCGTGCCGAATTTAACCCGGACAGAGCTTATCCCTGCTCATATTCACCAGGAATTCTTTGGTTGCAAGTGACAGAAATTCAATCCAAACTAACTGACCATCATCGCTCATGCCTTTGGGAATCCCAGCAGGATAAGATGCAGTTTGTCTCAAAAGTACGGGAAGCAGCCAAATGGACGGACGCCAAAAGAATGAAGTTATGCGTCTCCTCTTTCTTCATCTCTCCCTAGTTCCTCTTTGCTTTTCCCTTTTATGGGCTTTATTCTCGTCTCCTCTAAACAGTTTCTTCCATAAGGTGTGAGAAGGGAGTGAGAAAAATGGTCTCAAGACATCTCAAAATAGGAAAACCAATCTCCTGGCCACCTGGGCTTCTTATACCTGGCTCCGGATCCAAAAAACGCAGGGAAGGACTCTCAAGGGCACAGACTAACGTCTGTTCTTATCTCTCAACCAATCGCTGAGTGCTGGGGGTGGGGCTTAACACTTTGGAAAACAGTTGGCCGGCTTGGCTCACCTGCTCATCCCTCAGCCAATCACGGTGGGGAAGGCAGGCGCACAACAGAGCATGGCAGCTCCCCAGCCCTAGCAGTGCTCCTTGGGTAAAAGCTGGCTGCTTTTATCTCAGTGATCATGGGGGTTTTTCTGGTGGGTGGATTTTCCGTGGGTGGAGTACCTAAATGGTGCAAACCTTTAAGATGGTCAGCTGCTAAGGGAAAGGGTAGAAGTTCTAGGCCACCCAGAGACGCTTTCAGAAGAAAGGCCTGGCGCTCTACCTCTGAGAAATCAGCTAGTGAAAACCCTTTGGGTGGTGATCAATGAAACTGAGCTAATTAACTTCCACCTATGAAAAACAGTGTACAGTGAACCCTCGCCACTTCGCGCTTCGACTTCCGCGGCTTCACTCTATCGCGGTTTTTGCATAACAGCGCATGCTCTGTCATTACTGCCACTGATTGGCTCATACTGTACACGCTTGATGCCATAAATAATATAATAAATGATAATTGTAACATCCAAAATGTTTTACTGTATTTTCCCTTTTTCATTTAATAAATTGGGTAATACGAGTGTAATGGTGACTAAAGGGTGTTTTTTCATGTCCTTTATGCTCTAACTATGAAAATATTTGATTTACAAATAAGGAATCCTACTTTGCGGAATTTCATTTATCACGGTAGGGTCTAGAACCCATTAACCGCGATAAACGAGGGTTCACTGTATTGGCAAATGTGTCACATATAATTTTACACACACACACACACACGGTTGATTCTGATTCTTAGCGACCCTGTCGGACAGGGTAGAACTAGTTTTCCCCTGTGACAAGATGCTAACCACTTACTGGAATACAAGGCCCCCCATCTACGCCCCACCCCACCCCACCCTGCTGGTGGTTTCAAATTGTTGACCTTGTGGTTCCTAACCCAACACCTAACCACTACGGCACCAGGGGGCTGTGTTATCTTGAACGCCAGTTAACAAAACCCTAAGTTAACCTTCCTGGCCTCTTCCTCCTCTAGTTGGAACCCTGGAGTGAGGTGTGAAAGTCAGGTGCCCAGCGGTTAGGACGGAAGGTCCAGCCAAGCATTGCACACCTTCAGGTAACAGAGCCTAATGCATGCTGATGGGATGAATGACTGGATTACGCTCTCCAGAAATTGTCTTGCGACGGCTCGATTTCAGACCCTAACCGAATCACGAACTGACTCGGGAGAGAGGAACCGCACACACGCGTAGCGGGGGTCGGAGGTGGGGGCTGGGGGGATGTGCATATGATTAGAGACCCACCCAGGGGACCACTAAGCATGCCCAGGCCCGGGCCGACGCCTTGCTGGGCCACTTATGGGCGGGGCTCCCGGAACCCAGCATTTTGGATGGAACCACCTTCTATCTCTCAGAGGGGAGCACTGTAAGAGTCCGTCTGTATCTCCTCTATCGAATAATTCTCTATATATCTAATAATCGATATCTAAGCAGCTCTGATAACACACAGCTCTCTCCCTCCAGCTCGTTACGCCTCACTGCCCCACGCACCCACACATGGCAGGCATCCCCAGCGCCAGCCCGCAATGGCTCGCCCCAGTTTGACGCATTGCAGGGAAGGCTGGACCAATCGGCGCCGCGCTCTCATTTCCGATAAGGCCCGCGCCCAATCGTAGCGCGGCTCTCAAAGGGACGCGTCACGCTCCGCTGAGCCGTGCCCCTCCGCCAGGGAGGAGCGTGGAGCGGGCGCAGGGGGCGGGGCACGCGGGGACGGAAAGTAGTCCAGTGGCGGGAGCGCGCGCGCACGGCCGG